CCCGCTCCGGGTCTGGCGCCCACCCTCTCCCAGCCTGCCCCAGGTCAGAAGGACGTCCAACTTTGCCGGCCGGTGCCCTCCTCATCGTCCCCACGCGCGGCTAGCGGCCTTTCCCCCTCGGCCCTTCCTTTCCACCCGGAACGCGGCTCGATGGGGAGGTCAAAGCTCCGTCGGTGGGCCGACGAGGATGAAGATCTACTCTCCGACGTCTCGATCGGCGATTGCTCTCCTTCGTCGTACACAGAGGCCGCCACGGGCGCTTATCGCTACTACTAACCAATTGCTCGGCATGTCCGCTTTGGGTGTTGCGGCACCAGCGCGATCGACGCCGCTGCCATTCTTCTTGGTAGCTAACGGGACGGCGGCGGAAGCGACGAGGGTACGCCGCCCGTGGCGCGTCATCGCCGACGCCGCCGTCGGCCCGCCATCTGCCGCCGTCGGATGCGGCGCAAGGCCCATAATCGATCGGGTGGCCGGGAGCCCAGGCGACATCGGATCAGTCGGACCCAGCGACCTGCGCGCGCGCTGCTGCGCACTAACGGTGAGGGGACGTCGCGCGCTGTCTCGCTCAGACGCGAGGAGGGTGGCGGTGCGATGCTTGGGTGTCGTGAGTGAGGGGTGGCGGCGGCGGCCGGGGCGGTGTCTCAATTGCTCGCCCCGAAACATCGCGTGGCGACATGCCGCCTCCCATGCCGGTGCCTACGCTGCAATGGTTTGGGCCACCTGGCCCGTGCCTGTAAGCGTCCGCGAACAGTTCCTGCTCCGGAGGTCGCCGGTGGGAGCCGACAGCGTCGTCGCTTGGGCCCGCAGGCTGGTCGTCGACTGCAGCCACCTGCTCTCGTCGGTCCGGCGGAGTCGGGTGGGGCTGTGCTTGTGCCGTCTGCCGGTACGCCTGTTGGCCGAGGCCGTCGGCGCCGACGCGAGAGACGCCGAAGACGGCCACAGGAAGGCACCAACGCCCCCTCCACCGACGCTACGGCCGACCTCGTCGTGCCGGCCAGCGGGACGTGCCTTCCTTGGGTTGACCCGTTGACACTGTTGGTTTGGCATCACGACGTGCTCCCTGTTCGCGACGCCACGGATGACCCGATGCTCGAGGAGTTTGTAGCCTCCATCGCCCCCAGCAGGTTCGACCCGCAGTTGGCCGTCTTGGAGGAGCCCTCGGGGGTGGGGGTCCCAGCTGGAGGGTCGCTCCTTCCGGCGCAGCTTTGTGCTGGCCCATCTCGCTCGGCCGCTTCTTCAGACGAGGAGCACTCGGACCATGCGAGGACGCCGTCCAGAGTTACTTCTCCGCCTATGGTCTTGTCGCCCATGGGCGCGGCGGCGGCTGTGGCGCCAGCTCCGGTGTCACCGAGTGACATCTCGCAGTATCTACGGTCGCAGCTTTCCTCTACCATCATGGAGCCGATCTTGGTCGAACCTCCACGTCTCCGTGTTCCTAGGAGGCGTCGTGCGGTTGAATGCACATCCTCACCGCCACGTCGTAGCGGGAGGCTTGCGGCCAAGAGCAGATGCAGAGCCTCCAACCCGACCGTGCAAGCCCAGAACGTGCTGATGGCAAAATGGGGACTCCACCAGCAGGATCAGGCGTCGCAGGCCGATGCGGAGGGCGATTTCGATAAGTACATGGCCGTTTTCGACGAGCCTCTCTCGGAGTCCAAGCGCGAGGCAATTAGGATGCTCTTCCCGGCTGGCTGCGCGATTGACGGCATCCAGCTGGTGGAGGGGGTTGAACTCGAGGTTTAGCCTACCTCTGGGTACCCGCTCTAGGTCGTCCAATCATTGTCCATGGCCTAGTTTACTAGCTCGCTGTACCTTAGCCCGTTGTTGCTTTTAGTCCCTCTTGTGGTACTAGCCGGGCTTCGTCGTAGTTCTCTTTAGTTTTTTCGCTTCTGTTTTTCTTCTTTCTCCTCGCCTGGGAAACCTTTGGTTACCTAGTGTTGAGCCGTTTGTTGTTTGGTTCGGTGTTGTCTAATTCCTCTTAATGAAATACGTGCTATACGGCACGTTCGAGAAAAAAAAGATGGGTATAGGATATACAGATTTCACAGTATTTGTAGTCGACGCAAAAGCGCCAGACTAGCCGAACCGGTGATGAAAACGGCGATGTACTTGGTTGAATGAGGCTGTGATCGAGCATTTCTTTGACTTGCTTATCGATTTCATCTTTGAGGCTTAAGGATACCGATAGGCTCGAATGTTGACTGGGGAAGCTCCATTGACCAATGGAATAGCGTGATCACAAGACCTCTTGGGTGGCAGCGAATCAGGGATCTTAAACACTTCCGGAAACTGCAGCAATATCTCAGAAATCTCAGTTGGAAGATCCGGTGGTTCTGAAGCAGAACCTTGAAGGTCCATCGCTAGCAACTGAAAGACCAAGTCACCTGGCTGCGGTGCTGTAATGCCTTGTAGCAAAATCTGTGTCCCCTGGTAAGGAATAGAAAGCCACTTAGATTCTCAGTGTACCTGCATCGGGCTGTAGCGAGCAAGCCATCCATCCCCAAAATCAAGTCATAAGAGTCAAGTCGTAAGATACGCAGATCATGCTTGAACTGATAATCCCCCAAGGCAAATTGGCAGTCGACAATGACAGAGGAACACCTCAGAATATGTCCATTAGCGATCTTGACTGAAGCAGTTAGGGCAGTTCGAGGCAGTTCAGGAAGTCGAGAAGCAACTGACTCGGCCAAGAATGAAGCTGAGCTGCCGGAATCAATCAGCACAACAACCGAGTGGCCCTGTACAGACCCCTGAAACTGAATTGTGCGAGGCCCCTGGGACCCCATATGGGCGTCATGAGAGAGAGCCAGATTCAACTGCTCAGTAGGCTCATCAGATGGTTCAGGCAAATCATCCAACTGGAATAGATCCCATACTTCTTTCATTGCTTGTAGTTGTATCATTGGTGCGCACTTGTGACCCCTGAACCACTTCTCAGCACAACGATCACACAATCCCTGAGCACGCCGGAATGCACGCAGATTGGATAGCTTATCAACTGTTGCTGCTGCTCCCGGTGTGGATGGTTGTGGTGGATCAGCCGGTTTTGCTTGAACAGGAGGGCGGGGCAGTGGCATCGCCGATTTGAAGTTGCTCTTGGAACTTGATCCACTGTCATATTTGTGGAATTCTAGTTTGGGAATTGTAGTGACCACCTCTTCCTGCAACAAGGAGAGCGAATACGCAGTATCCAAATTTTGGGGCCGTTGCATCGCAACAACAACTCTGATCGCAACCCATCTATGAAACGAGTAATACTTTAATCAATGTAGTGCAGGTTCAAGTGATTTTGCTGCAACTTTTATTTTGTCCACTGGACCTTTTTTTTTTCCTTTTGTATAAGGTTGTTTTTTTCCTTTTAATGAAACACGGGTGAATGGCCCGATCGTGAAAAAAAAATATAAGGTTGTTTAGTTGAATTTGTTAATCCTAATATTTCATCCATGTGTAATATGCATGAAATTCCTATTAATAATATAGCCATTTGTTTGTGTATATGATGAGATATTGCGATAACCAACTTTGTGTTAAAATGCACACCATCTAGAATCCTATGAATATAACTCAAAATTAATTTATACAATTACCCAAAAGAAAACATGCATATTTCCACCTTAGGCCTTGTTTAGATCCAGCGTGTAAAGTTTTGGGATGTCACATCGGATGTTACATGAGAGTGTCGCATGGGATGTTCGGATACTAATAAAAAAAACAAATTACAGAATCTGCCAGTAACTGCGAGACGAATTTATTAAGTCTAATTAATCCGTCATTAGCACATGTGTTGCTATATCACTTTATTGTCAAATTATGGGCTAATTAGGCTTAAAAGATTTATCGCGCATGGGCAACAGCCGCGCTCGCAGCAGCAGTCGATTTGAGCGCGCGTGGGATTTTTCCGTGCCAAATCCATCTCCACCTTCATATATCCCCGCATCCTCACTTTTCCCTAAATCCATCTTCATCTCGCACTGTCCTCGTCTCCGATTTGGTGCGCCGAGATGTCCATGCCGTCCGCAGCTAGGAAGAAGAAGGGCTCGTCACCGTCGGCGTTGGCTGCATGCAATGGTATACAAAATTTATTTATAGTTGATCATAGCTACATGCAAAGCATTAAACAGCTTAGAGACGGTCCCTCTGTCTGTGGGTTATATGACTTGTCTTTATACCCGTCTGTATGATAGATTCGAGGTGCTTAGAGACGGACCCCTGTCTGTGGGTTGTACATGCCCTCAGTGATCAGCAGCAAGTGCAACAACATTCTTCTTGGTTGGAGCGAGCTAGTAATCTTCTTTATTGTCATCCATTTACCATGGCTAGTACGTTTTGAGTTTTAATTTGTATATACCCCATGCTGCAGAATTTAGAGCGAATGAAAGCAAGATTGACCCTATTCGTGTTGTTTTTACTTGGCAAGGCCATGAATTTCAGAGTTTTTAACAATGGTCGCTCGTTGGACATATATTTTGTAAGCATAATATACTAAAACATATGCAGCAGTTCGCAGATGCTGCCTGACGGGTACGATGGTGACTGCTGTATATGCCTGCATCGGCTTGCATCCATGCATAATATACTCTTCGCGACCATTCGACATATATACGGTACGGTGTAAAGGTTTAGAATACCAATCTAGATCATATAGACGATGGTCCGCAAGATTCACATCACAAAGCGCATGTTCATCTCATGTTGGCGCCCTGTGTCGTCAACACAGCTTTTTACAGCACGTATGCAACACGGCCGGAAGAACCTGCTTTATTCAGATTACGAGCTTATTTAATTTTTACGTCGTTCGTACAGGGGCTGCATGCGTGCGTGCACTTACGCTCGCGAAGTGAGTACACACATACAGTCATACTAGAGTGGAGAAGACACGTACATAGGTACGTCATACATACATACATACACACACATATACGTGGCTCAGGGTCCCGTCCAGGTTCAGATCATGATACGTGCGTCGATCGAGTCCGGCCGCGTGAAGAAGCTGGTCATCAGTTGTCGGACTTGACGACGAAGTTCTCCTTGCGCTCGTGGAACTCGCCGGTGCAGGTGTTGACGTCCTCCTCGAACTTGGACTCGCGGGCCTCCAAGTGGCCGTGGCGGCCGCCGGCGCGTGACACCATGTCGACCTCCTCGAACTTCTCCTTGACGACGTGCTGCTGGACGCCGTGGCGGCCGAAACCGGCAGGGCTGGTCACCGACTTCACCTCCTCCGAGCAGTAGTCCACCTCCTGGTAGTGAGCCATTGGTGTTTATGTGTAGCGCCTGTGCCTGTGTGTGCTTCGAAGCGGTTGTGATTTGTGGATGTGTGTGAGACTTGTGTGATGGATGAGGGGTTGGGTGAGCTTTTTATAACGTACAAAGAAGGTGCTGCATGAGTGGAGTACTGGAGTGAGGAATAATCTGATCACGACTCGTGAGGGGTAAAGATAGCTGTCATGCATGAGTGGAGTACTGGAGTGAGGAATAATCTAGAAGTGTTTGGACTATACTGGCCAAGATTCGTTTTTTATCTTTTTTCCGAAACTACCGGCAGGATTCTGTACGTACGGCATACTTGTGTATAGATAGAAGGGGTTTTCAAAACAAAGTATAAATATTTTTAAGAAAAAATACAAGAACTTCTTAGTCAAGGAGAGTTTGGCCAAGGAAAGCCACTCCACCAAAACAACTTGAAAAAAAATGGATCGTCTCGGTGGGCGTGGCGAGCGTGAAACGTAAAAAGTGCAGGGAAAATTCATTTGTACAGAGAGTGCCGGTATAATTGTCAAGTTAGACCTTGTTTGGATATATGCACATATATCCACATCAATGTTAAGGAAACTACGGATATCAGCATGTAGTTACCGAGCAGAGCGACAATCGGTTCACAAGGTCAGGTAAGAATACACTTGCCACGTAGCATGTGAGAATATATACTTGCGTCTCAGCCTGCACCGCATCTCGCCTCAGTAGGGATCGACACCGCTAGTCGCCATGATGTGATGACATCCTAATTATAATATTCTAACAGGACTTGCAAAAAGCATCCGCATGCTCCAATCACCTTTCGGGCAGCCATGGCTAAAGAGCCACCACCGTTGGTTTTACAATGTTGATGAAGAACTCTAGACTGTTGCGTTGTATTGCTTGTCTTGTTGTACATGTATATACACACTAGTCAGAAAATTTGTTAATTAGAAAGTCAGAAATTTTACCACCCAAATTCACGTGCCCTCGACATGCCAACACCTAATCTCGTCTTTGATAAAGAAAGAATACCTAGTCATATCTTTTGGTCTCATCAACGCTTCTGCATTCTTCATGTATCTCATGAACTCAGTCTTTATGTCAGAGTTGAATAAGTTTGTGGTGGTATTCATTGATGATGTCTTGATATATTCTAAGAACAAGGAAGAGCATGACCAACATCTTCGGATAGTACTGACTCGATTAAGAGAACACAAGCTGTATGTCAAACTCAGCAAGTGTGAGTTTTTACTGGATCAAGTACAATTTTTGGGACATGTTCTGACCCCTGATGGCATCTCTGTAGATCTAAGCAAGGTGCAATATGTGCTAAATTAGAAGTATTCCAAGTCAGTGCATCAGATTTGTCAGTTCCTTGGTCTTGCTGGATATTATTGGCGTTTCATTCCTGACTTCTCCAAGATAGCTCAGCCGATGACCAAGCTGCTCCAGAAAGATGCCCAGTTTGTTTGGAACCCGGCTTGTGAAGAAGCCTTCCAAACTTTGAAGAAATTTCTTACCACTGCTCCTGTCCTGGCCCAACCAAATATTGACAGACCTTTTGATGTATATTGTGATGCCTCGAAGACAGGGTTGGGATGTGTGCTTATGTAAGATGGGCGGATGATAGCTTATGCCTCACGCCAGCTAAAAAAGTACGAGGTGAATTATCCCACCCATGATTTAGAGCTGGCTGCCGTGGTGCACGCTCTAAAAATTTGGAGGCGTTATTTGTTGGAAAATAAAGTACACATTTTTACGGATCACAAGAGCCTCAAATATATTTTCACTCAGTCCGAGTTGAATATGAGGCAAATGAGATGGTTGGAATTAATTAAGGATTATAACCTGGAGGTACATTACCATCCCGGAAAAGCTAATGTGGTAGCTGATGCTTTGAGCCGGAAATCATATCAGGCTGAAGAAACACCTTTGTCTCTCAACTATGCTGAGGTGCTAGCTCACATTGCCTTAGTCTCAAATTTACTTGAGCAGCTTATTGTGGAGCAAAGGCAAGATACTTCAGAAATTCCTCATATCAAGAAACTAATTGCCGAAGGGCGTGGTCCTCAGTTTAGTATTGATGAGCAAGGGGTAGGAAAGTACAAGAACAGATTGGTGGTTCTATCAAATGAGGAGCTTAGAAGGAAGATTTTGAATGAAGCTCATCATTCCAAGTTGTCTATTCATCCTGACAGTAATAACATATACCATGATTTGTGCCACTTGTATTGGTGGTCCAATATGAAACAGGATATCACCAAGTACGTCGCGGAGTGCGACACTTGTGGGAGAGTTAAGGCCGACCACATGCGTACCCCGGGATATTTGCATCCCTTGCCCATTCCTGTTTGAAAATGGGAAGATATTTTCATGGATTTCATTGTGGGTTTACACATCCAAGGGCTATAACTCTATTTGGGTCATTATGGATCGCCTTACTAAGTAAGCTTATTTTCTCCCAGTGGATTCCAGATATTCAGCTAGGAGGTATGCCAAGCTGTATTTTGACCGGATTGTGACCCTGCATGTAGTTCCTCTCACTATTGTCTCTGACAGAGGGTCTGTCTTTGTCTCCCGTTTTGGGAGCAGCTCCAGGAGTGTCATGGTACTAGCCTCCTCCGCAGTTCAGCCTATCATCCATAGACTGATGACCAAACAGAAAGGGTCAACTAGGTACTTGAAGATATGTTGAGAGCTTGTGCCATTTCTTTTCCTGAGAAGTGGGACGAATGCTTGAACTTAGCTGAGTTTTTCTACAACAATAACTATCAAGAAAGCATTCATATGGCACCCTTTGAAGCTCTACATGGGAAGAAATGTAGGACACCACTTAACTGGGTTGAAGTGGGAGACCATAGATAATTTGGGCCTGATTTCATCAAAGAAGCTCGAGAGCAAGTCAGTATTATTCAGAGTCATTTGAAGGCAGCTCAGAACCGACAAAAAGCTTATGTGGACAAGCGAAGAAGACATTTGCAGTTTGCAGCTGGGGATTATGTGTACCTTAAGGTGTCTCCTATGAAAGAGGTGCATCGGTTTGGTGTTCAAGGCAAGCTAGCCCCTCGATATGTGGGTCCTTACAAGATTTTGAGACAGTGTGGCCCAGTTGCTTATCGTCTCCAACTTCCAGATATTTTATCAGCGGTACATGATTTGTTCCACGTATCTCAGTTGAAGAAGTGTTTGCGGGTCCCTGATGAAGCTGTGGAAATTAAAGGACTTTCCCTCCAGCCTGACTTGACGTATATTGAATATCCTGTCAAGATATTAGATGAGAAAGAAAGAGTGACTAGGAACAATATGGTGAAGTTCTACAAGGTTCAGTGGCAAAATCACTCGGAAGATGAAGCAACGTGGGAGCAAGAAAGTTATATCTTGGAGCATTATCCCCATCTTCTTTCTTGTTCATCGAGGTAGTTGTTTATTTCGAAATGTATTCCTTAGCTCTTTTCCCACACTAGGCACATGAAATCTTGGGATGAGATTTTGTTTTAGGGGGGTAGATTTGTAACACCCTCGGTGTTACACTGTGCAATCTCTTGCTAAAATATTGTATGAGCATCATATTTATGTGTAAATGTATGTAATATAGGGTGTAAATCAATGTACGTAACTTAAAATGACCAACGAAAATGCCTAACGAAAGGTTATTTGTGATGCATGAAATTATCAAGTACGGATGCTCGCAAATTTTTATTGAACGAAAACACTATAGAACGTATATATGGAACTTTAGTAAAGTTAGAAGTATGAACTTTGTAGATAATGATGAAATACCTGCGGTCGAGAAAGAAATTCACTAGCTAGCATACCGAATAGCTTGGAAATCGAATTTGACGCAAATTCGATCGAGACTTAGTCGATTTCGTAAGTCTGAAAAGTGGTTTGATAAAGCTAGGTTTGGTGATTTTTGTAGAAGAATCGGGTTAAGGAGTGATGGGGTATTAAGGCTTGTTTTAGTAGCTTATTATGCCCTCTTAAGAATTACATAGGTGGCTTGGCGATTAGATCAACATTTTAGGGTTTTTCGAACGCATTAAAAATCATGCGCATGACGTTTCCGGCCGGTTTTATCGCGTGGATGCGGTCACCGCACTCTTGTGCCGTCGTCGGCGCGCTGGCCACGCGAGCGAGCACGCGTGCTTGGCCGAGCTCAGCTGGCTGCGGTGGTCGGCAACCCTGGCTGGTAGCGGGCCCTCCTCTCCATCGCGATGCACGTTGCCGCTGGCGTCGCTGTTGGTGCCCTAGGGCCGCCCGCGTAGCACTGTGCTCGGCTCTGCTCCGCCAAACGTCATCGTCGTTCCGCTCGGGTGCAGTGGCATCCCATGGCCGCAGCCGTCGTCGCCAACACGCGCACGTTTCTTCTGTGTCGCATCGTGACATCGCGTGCGCCCACGCCGCTCGCGTCACGTCGCCGCTACCGTTGCTGCGTGCGCCTGCTGCATCGGCACATGGCCATGTCGCCGTCGGCTTGCCAATTAACGCGCTGCGGCCACACGAGTCGTGCCGACTCGTACGTGCACGTGTAGCCTCCCCTGTGTGCCCTTGTCCGCTTCTATTGAGTGGCATGCGTCACTCTGCGCTCCTCGGTCACCTCCGCCTTTAATGGCGTTGCGCTGGCGTCATCGAGTCACGCCAAGGCCAGCTCGCAGCGCCGGTCCAATCCTAGTAATTGTGCATGCCTGAAGCGCATCTGGGAACCTAGCTACGCGCCAAGCTCGCCCATTGCTGCAGTCATGCCGTGTCGAGCCTCAATTTGAAGATTCCCCGCTGTTGGCCACCTTAAGACCGAACGGCGATGCCCATCCAATTCGCCTCGCACCGTCCACCTCCATTCAACTCCGTGGCACTGTGTCTTCGCCCTGTTCCCCTCCATCTCGTGCGCACCCCATTTTCAAAGCCGCTACCTTCTCGGCGCCGCTGATACGGTCGTGCCATCGCCGCCCGTCGTGGAGCTTGCCGTGCGCGCATGGCCGGACTCACCCGGCCCATCCCCTGTCAAGCCACCACCACAGGTAGCTTCAGGTTGAGTTACTGATGCCCATCCTCTAGTCCTTTCATCTCGGTTGTGCCTTGGCTCACAGGAACACGATTACCGCCGTCGTGGAGGGAGCTCTTGACCGCCTCTCCGTTCATCGCTTCGCCACCCACCACTTCACGTTTACATCTAGGTGAGCATCAGCTCGCTATCGGGGGCGAGGAGGGGCTAGGTTGGCCGGCGTGACCACCCAGTGCCGTCGCTGCCGCGCCAGTGCGCGCGCGGGTCCCTGAGGACCTGGCCGTGGTAAAGACAAATTGTTCCGAGGGCTAGTTTGCTTAAACGCTGATTGTAAGAATAGTGTTGCGCAAGTTAGATTTCGCTTTCCATTTTATAAAGGATAGAATTAGCTTTATAATTTACATTATAAGTTGAACTTTGGAAATTAATATCAATTCACATAAGTAGCCAAAATTTTTGAAATAAATTCTGTTGAGTTCCTAAAAATGTGGTCTACCTGATAGTAGGATTAGTTTATGTATGTCTATGTTGATGCTGAGGTCTATTAAATCATTTGGAAGTGCTAATATCATTTAGATTAATAATTGTAGAAATTCTTGTGGCAAATTGGTAATAGCTTTGGATATGAAATTTTTATAGTAGGTCCATTAGATTATTATATGCTCACTGTATCTTTGTAGCCGTAGAATAGGATGATAAATAGAGTAGCTAATACTCCTTATTTTATCATGTATAGAGTAAATCGATATTAAGAGTAAGAATGCCTTTAGTTGCTAAATTAATACATGAAATGTTTCATACCTGTTTAGTGGAAATGATAGGCAACTTAGTGTCTTAGTCGGTAGAGCTATCTTAGTAGCTTGATAGATGTATTTTTATTTTAAGAGTTGCTGTTGGCGTATTATTAAGTGTTGCATCATTATTTTATGCATGTAGATAACGAGTTGGTAGAGTTCATGCCTGCGGACGAACAGGAGTACAAGGAGATCATTAAGGAGTACGAGGAGGAGATTCTCGTACAGGAGGGAGCCCCAGAGCCTTCAATTACTGACTTTGTTGACACCCCACCTGCCTAAGGCAAGCCCCGATGCATAACTCTTATTTTGAATGATATCTGAATATATATATATATATGATGTGCATTTACGTTACAGGCATTTTATGGAAACTACATGCATAGATATATCTACCTATGAGTCCTACTAGTATAGATCGAGTAGCTGCTATGCTTAGGATTTCGGTAGCGTGAGTAACCTATCATTGCTCACAATAGGTGATTATTATTATCACTCATGATAAAATGGTAAAAGGAAAATGGAGACCGGGCAGAGATATGGTTTGGGTATTGGTGGGTATAAGAGGTTGTGTCCTGTGGCCAACGGGGCATAGCTTGATTACACTGTTTCCCTGTCTGAGTCGGTTAAGGACCGGCCGTTGCATTAGACTCTAAGCAAGTTACAGACTTATTATCCTGAGCATATACTTAGGTATGGGCGCATGGAAGGCATGTTGCTCTCTTATCGTGGGTTCCAGCTCTTTCTGGACTAACTGATTGGAGGCGGGGATGGTGGAGGTCTAAGCATCGCACTGAGTCCGGAATTTAGGAGCGGGGGCTTGGAGTCTAAGTTTGGACAGGAACCTAGATCCTGTGACAGAAGAGTGGCGGGTTGGTCCTGCTTGTGCCTGGGGTATAAGCGGGGCGTGTGTTTTAGGGTGCTTACATAGAATGGTTAGATAATGAACTAACCATGAATGCTAATAATTAACATACATAAGAATTTACTATTAGTATTGCTTTCTGTAAAAAGGAACCCAGCAAACCATAAAGCTTATCATATTCCTTGGAGTCGGGAAATTATTCTCACTAGTCAGATAAGTCTTGCGAGTACATTATGTACTCAAGGTTTATTTACCCCTGTTGCAGGTACTGCTTGAGGAGTAACTGTTGTGTGAAGGATTCTTCTGGTGAGCACAGACGGATCCTTGTATATTATCGATAGATGTTTCTTTTCATTCTGATGTTAAATTTTCGCGCTCTGAATTTGGTACTGTGATAATATATTTCTAAGGACTCTGGATGTATGAAATGGACTAAGTAATGTAAACTCGTTCTCATTATTGGATCCTGAGAGAAAAAGGTGGATTATTCGGGCTCTCCCTTGGGGTGTGCTCGACGGAATCCACCCGATGTAGCTCGCTCTCGGGGTGCTTAGTGTCTAGTGGAAGACAAGCGCCTTCGTAAGTGCGTTATTTCGGATGGTTCTACCACACTAATGGTGCTCGCACGCCACGGCTCGCCACCGGCTCCCACCCCGACGACCGGAATCGACTGGCCTGATATTTCCTCCTCCATGTTGCATATGTATGTTTCAAGTGTTTCAGATGTTTTAGATGTATGTTGCAATTATTTCCATCTTAATGTTGCAAGTAGATTGGGTATGTTGCACATGTTACATATGTTGCAAGTGTTTCAGAGACATGTTGCAAGCGTTTGTTCAAACCGTTTCATCTGTTTCCAGACGTATGTTGTAAGCGTTTTGATCTGGATGTTGCATATGTTTTCACACATATATTGTAACAGTATGCTCCAAAATGTTTCATCTGTTTCAGTCTTCTGTTGCAGCAAGTGTTTTTATGTTGCAAGTTGCAAGTGTTCTATATTGATGTTGTATATGTTTTCGCACATATGTTGTAAGTGTATATTCCAAATGTGTCACCTGTTTCATATATATTGCAAGTATTTTATCTGGATGTTGCATATGTTGCAGTGGTTATACACATATATTGTAAACGTATGTTTTAATTGTTCCACTTTGTTTCAGTATGTTGGAACAGGTGCTACTCCCCACGCGCTCTCACTCGTGGGCAAGCACGTACTGCGCTAGCATGCGCGTGTTTCAAAAAAAATAAAGAAGAGGAGACGCGGGGCGCATCAGGTGCAGCAGCATGGGCAGACATTCGGATGCGCGGGTCCATCTGGACATCCAGACGCTAGCATAGTCTAGGAATAATCTGTCCCCGAGGAGATATGTGTGTGCATCGGTGCATGCAATTGTGTCCTTTATTTTATTCGCCTTTTAGCTTTGATCCGAAGTATGTGGACTATGGGCCTGTTTAGTTGGCAAAAAAATTTGGCAAAAAATTTTGGTTTTGGGTACTGTAGCATTTTGTTTGTATTTGGTAATTAGTGTCTAATTATGGACTAATTAGGTTCGAAAGTTTCGTCTCGCGATTTTTCACCCAACTGTGTAATTAATTTTTTTTTATTTACATTTAATACTCCATGCATGTGCCGCAAGATTCGATGTGATGGATACTGCGCAAATTTTTTTGGCTTTTGGGTGAAACTAAACAGGCCCTATGTTATTATTGGCCCGGGTAGATACTTGGGTTGTGGCTAGGTACATTTTAAATTGCAATTGTTCATGTTTATATGTGGTTCTTGTGTTCTAGTTATTAGGATATTTTTCATTATATTAGAGGAAAAAGGAGCGCGAGACACTCGATGGGTGCAGGTATGATCCACTTCTAAAATACAATCTCAGTTGCAGATGATGTGTGAGCCATCGATCGTCCATTGCTAAAATCCACTTCTATAAAAGTGTATTGGTAGAGTTATATTACTTGGATGAAAAGATATAATAATTTTTTGCTAATTACTATCAGGCCTGATATTTGTTTCTTCTTGCACTGGAATTGAACTCACGCTGTTTTACAAACAAGCAGCTAATTTCAATGAGCATATTATGAGCATGTAATATTATGAGCATGTAATGCAGAAAATGTAATGTAGAAAATCCAATGAAATTATAATACATATTAGACTCACGTTCAGTGATAGTTTAAATTCCAATTATAATACATATTAGACCCGTTGCAACGCACGAGTAAATTTGCTAGTAAATATAAAAGGTCACGCCGATTCAGGTATCCAATCAATCACTCAATACGACTTTTACTATTTTGCCTTTATCTTTTTTCCTTTTACTCTGTTTTTGTCATCCATAGCTTCCTTCATCTCTACGATATTTGAAGGCGTCGTAACTGGTCTGCCAACGCTAAGGCAACCCAAAGTGCGCTTGGCCAAACACAGTCCATCTCGAGCAAGCATTTGTTGGTCTGCAAAATGATGGATGTCGTCGTCAAAAGCCCAAACCAAGTACTATCTAGTTGACTTGCAAAGTTTGTATCCGATACATATATAATATACCTCAGTCTCATAAGTATGCAATTCTAGATCTGATCAAAGTTAAACTATCTTAAGTTTAAATAAGTTTATAGAAGGTATTATCAATATGTATGACTCTGAATACGTATATTATAAAAATTATATTTTTGATGAATCTAACGAGACTTATTTAGTCTGATAAATATTAGCATATTTTTTATATAAATTTGGTAAAACTTACAATTGTTTAACTTAGTACTCTCTCCATCCCCAAAAGAATGCAATTTTAAAACAGTGTCATGTGTTAGCATATCAACTTTGACAAATTATAGATAAAAAATATAAATATTTATAATATCAAATAAATATCATTAGATTAATTATAAAATATATTTTTATAATAAATTAATTTAGAGTCATAAATATGAATATTATTTTCTAAAAACTTAGTCAAACGTGAGCCACTTTACGTGGCACGCAACCCATAGTTGCATTCTTTCCGTGATTCTATTTTCTGACAGAGAGAATGTGCATGGTAACGTAGGTAGGTAGTACGGAGAAGCTTTATTCAGGTCACGAGCTTATTGTCGTAATTCGTACAGAAGCTGCGTGCGTGCACGCCAGCCAAGTGCGATGACCCTGCACAATCTTATACGCACGTACATACATAAGGCACGCACGCACGCACGGACGGGCGTGCATGGTACGGTCGTGCGGCCGGCGGCTCAGTTAGCCCTGGCGACGAAGCTCTCCTTGCGCTCGTGGAACTCGCCGGTGCAGGTGTTGAAGTCTTCCACGACCCTGGTCTCGCGCACCACGATGCCGTGGCCGTGGTGGTGGCCGCCGGTGCGTGACACCGTGTCGACCTCCTCGAACTTCTCCTTGACGACGTGCTGCTGGCCGCCGCCGCCGTAGCGGCCGAAGCCGCCGGCCGGGGCCACCGACCTCACCTCTTCCGAGCAGTAGTCTACCTCCTGGTAGTAAGCCATTGGTGATGCTTGGTGTTTGTTGTAGTGCCTGTGCGTCGTTCAAGTGCTTGTGTGGATTGTTAGTGTGATGGGCGCATGGTAGCGTTCGTCGGGTGCGCTGGACACAAGTGGAGTGAGGAATAATTTGTTCATCCTCAACTTGATGAGGGAGAAAGATACCTGTAATCCGTACTTTTCAGCTTGTCTTATAATCCGTATTTTTCAGCTTGTTTTTTCAGCCGGAACAGTGTTTTTCTCACACAACAAATCAGTCGGAACAGTGTTTCGGTTTGTTTTTTTAGCGAAGCGAACGGGGCCATTGTGTACTTGCTTACTCCGCTTTTTAGCATTGATCTAGATGTATTGACTGTAAACTTGTAACCGCAGCCGATTATTACACATAGTTGGGTGGCTAGAGGCCTTTTTAACAGCATTTCTTTTATCATGTTTTGATGAGGTTTAATTGTGGTTCTCTAACCACGCTGTAGTTTGTGGATAAAATTAGCTAATCTAGATGAGCACGGAGTTGTGAATGGAAAAATAATAAGAACAAAAGTACTCCCTATGTCTCGCCCTATTCGCTTGGCTTATAAGCCATACTTTTTCATAGTACTTTCAGCCATGGCTTATCAGCCAAGCGAACAGGGCATCTTACGATTCAGAATGGAGTAGATATTATGATCATACTGGAGCTTTTGTATGCTCCAGAGCTGCTTGGTTGTAAAGCAGTGAGTTCAAGTCCAGTGGAAAAATAGAGGGAAACGAATACCAGGCCCGAGAGTAATTACTCATCTACAGAGTGCCAATTTGGCTGATGTTCGGATGGCTGGTTCGTTTCGTTGCTGGTTTGTGAAGAAGTACTGCTGGCTGGTTTGTGTGAGAGAAAAATACTGTTTCGACTGAAAATTTACGATCATTTACGATAAGCCACAGCCAAACGAAGAGACTGTTGTTCATTTCAGATTCTCTATCGGTACAAAGTCACCTCTCACCGGTCAGGTAAGAAGAATATACTTATCAGTTAAGTTAGGCACTTAGCCAGTGGAGCGGGGAATAGATACTTGCGTCTCGGCCTGTACCGCATTTCATGTCTTCATTCACTATAGAGAAGAGAATTGAGATGGAGACGGAAGCCGCCTCACCGACGGACAGAAGAACTGATGAGTGATGACATCCTGTGTATATAATAAGATTCAAAGAAGAGAGATGCTCAGATGCAAAGCAGCGGCCTGCTCCGGTGCTCCCATCTCCTTTCGGGCAGTCATTCCTGACGAACCCGCCGTTGGTTTCATCAGGAATCTGCTGAAGGGTTTGCAGTGCATGCACCCATCGTGGCCTCTTTTTTTTTTTTTTTGAAACATTAATTCTGCCGTAGCATCCACAAGCTTGCAAAACAAAAAACAGAGACTCGGGGAAACAATTTGTAACCATAAATCGATCATCTGGGAGACTGGGATACTCTACGATAAACAAAATTTGCTACACCTACCACGTTCAAGCCATATAATTCATACTGTTCCATTAGCTCAGGCTCAGTCGCTCCGATCAAGTTCTATGTTTCAGAAATAATAATCTTCCATTTTGAGGAACCAAAAGCCTGTTCTCTCCTGGTATTTTCTCCAGCTTCAACTTTCCGTGTGGCTTGCTTGAACCGTCTTCTAGGCTTTATCGGTATGTTGAAGTATTACAACAGTGTGGGTCAAGGCTAATGCCTCTTCCTCTTCTTGCTGCTCTTCAGTTGCTTCTTTCGGTTTCCGCTCTTGCCACGTGACTTGCTTGAACCGCCATCATCTTCCTTGTCTCCGCCAATTAGCATGTTCATTCCAAGGTCGAAACCATCTGTTAAGCCTCCTAGCCTGTTGCCAGAATCAGATATCAGTTGGGAGCGTAAGTTGGATAGTAAGACAAGCTGAAAATCCCAAAGGGCAAACCAAGTGCCGAATAATACTCGTAGCTGACCAAAGTCAATTGTGTATTTACACAGACAATAAGCAGCAGCAAAAGATAAACTATCTGAACATACCCATGAAGTTGTCTCCTTATGCGCTTCTCGATCTGCTTATCACGTTTGGTTACAGGAGCCCGAGTGAACAACTCCTCTTCCTGCTTCTCTTGCTCCTCTCTCTGTCGCATGTACCTCCCAAATTCCCTGCTTTCATCGCCCACTGTTTCCTTCCACTGTAAATTCCAGAAAGATTGTTTAACATGAAAATAAACAGCACATAGCTTACTCTGCATCCAAGACAGCCAGCTAATAAATTCAGAGCAAAAGTTACGCAAACCTCTTCAGGTCTGTCCGCAGCATCATCAATCATTTCTTTAATATAAGGATTTTCTATTGCCACTCGGGCTAGTGCTTTATCTCTCCTTGAATCTTTTTTACGACGCTTCTCTTCATCATCCATGCTAGTAGGCATAAATTTCGGAGGATGGTAAACACCATCAGTATCCTGAAATAAAGTGGTTATACATCAGAACAGCAGAAGGTATAGACTGATATGCCACATGAAATGAGAAATAAACCTCACTGCTCCAGGAAATGGTGAGTTTGAATGACAGGTATTAATGACATTTTTTGCATTTAGCACTTACACAGAATATGCAAAATTCTTAAAGGAACAAAAAAACAACATTTTAATGGGACAAATACACAACTCAAAAACAATGCTAAAAGTGGATTCCTAAAGGGACGGGAAGAATTAATGTCAGTATCAAATTCAGCACTATAGGGATGCCAACTAAAATTCTTGAGATGAGAAGGGTTGTTGATTCATTATTGCCAGTGACAATTATATTACAAAGGATATGCTGTAGTAGCAGGAAAGATGGGAAAAATTGTTCATGTGAATGACATTGCACTTATTGATATTTGGGCTAAAACAAACTGATATGTTCCAATCTTGTAAGTGCAGACAAGTTATTAATTAATATAGTCCTTTCACAAAGTAATGTTCATGTAGGACGTTCCAGCATGCACAAAAGGAAGCATCTGCGATGTAACAAGTGTATAGAATCATTAAGGAAGTGAAAAGCATCACCTGCCCATCAGGACCAGCCTTTGTGTCCATCATATCTGGGTTTGGCCTATACTTCAGGTGGTCTTCCTCATCCGAATGCTCGTCCTTCCCCTTCGCCTCTGCATTTCCTGTCTTCTCTCGAGCAGTTGCATTGTCAGCAGCGTTGGTGAGCTTCTGGATTTGGTACTCTGCCTTCTTGTCAATCGGGCGAATCTACCGCACCAAATTCAAAAGAAAGACATCTCTTAGTTAACGAACTACATCAAAGCTGGAAAGTGAACAATCAGCATCGAAGGCACAAGCAAACCTTCTCCAGAAACAGCCTAATCTCGACAATGCTCCGTACGACGGGGTGGCCATCCACCGAGAGCCCCTTGGCCTTGCGGAGCAGGTAGTAGACGATGTCCTGGCAGTAGCCAAGGAGCAGGTGGTTCTTCGCCTCTAGGTACCCGATCCCGTTGGCCGTCGGCAACTGGTTCTCCTTGACCTATCGACACGCGAGGACAGCGAACCATAATTTATTCTACCATCGTACCCAATTCGAGGTTTAAGAAATTGGGAGAGGCGAAGGAAGCTTGGAAGGGGAAGACATGAGTAGATTACCTTCCGAGTGATGGCATCGACCTTGCCCCTTACGAGGTCCAATCCGTCCTTCATCTCCTTGAGAGCGGCGAGCAGCCCCGGCGCGTCGTCGCTGCAAGCAACAAACGCTCAGGTCAAAATTTGCTTTAGGCGCTAAAGCTGGGGAGAGGCATCTAGAGGCTGAGCATACCGTACGAGGAATTCGTCTTTGCTCTCGCCGTTGGCTTCGACGGCGGAGGATGCTGCCGCCATGGTGGCAAGCGACTCTTGTCCGAGAAATAGGCGGCGCCTAGCGACGCGGCTGCGTCACGGGAAGAGCGAGCGTGACGGCGTAGCGGGTGGCCGGCTGGGCGCGGGCGAGCCGCGGGCCGCCTCGCGAGAAGAGGAGGAAGGAGGCGGGAGGTCCGACCGGCAACCGTCCGAGGTCAGGACTCACGAGTCGGGACTCGGGAGGTGCTGCGCCGTGCGCCGAATCACCAATGGCTCCCGATGCGGACTGCGGACGGGAAAGGAGACGGGCGACGGCGCGAGTCGGGGGACGGGGACTACTGGTACAGCAGGCCTGGCTAGGGTTGGGCGCTTGTGGGCTGAGGGGGAGCTATTGGGCTGTTTCGGCCTTTTTAGTAAAATTTGTTTCTGAAAAACTTGGGCTGCGTCCCGGGCTGCAGGCCCCCAGCCCGGGGCCCAGATCCACCCCTGGCGGCGCTGGGGTTTAGGTAGGGAAAAGGTCCATATTACATTCCTCAACTTTTATAAAAATCTACTCCGGGTAAACCACCTCACTGAACTTTCGAAAACCGTTCATTTTACCTCTGACCGGTTATAAACGGTTTTTAAAATGGTTTTGTCTTCTTTTTTATTTATTTTGGTTGAGTTTTGAAAAATCATAGAAAAAACATAAAATAGAAAATCCAATTTTGTTGGACTCCACATGAGTAAATCTACATAGTGAATATATAATATGGCATGTTTTAGTATAAATTTTTTACTGTAGTTTTAGATCTATGCTTTTCTGTAATTAATTCATAGCTGCAGTTTCTACGGTCCAATTGTGGTGAAATTTTTATGGTGAACTAATTATTATATGCTTGAGTTATAGTAAAAATTCTATACTCAGGAATAGTTCAAGGAGGTAGATAGACTTTTTCTTCTACTCCTCTTTTTGGCTTTTTTTCAAGAATGTGGAGGCCTTTTTTTTCAAGAATGTGAAGGCTGAACTTCCACGTTCAGTTTCCGTAGGGTTTTCGTTTTTATTTTAAGAGGTTATTCAATTATTTTACTAGGAAAACCCTGTCCATTTAATTGAAGCCGGATCAGATCCTTCAGTGAAGAGCTGCCTGTCCAAGATGACGTTAATCTACCACAAGATCAGAATCTAAAGAGAAGACCCAGAAATAGTGTATGGTAACAAATCGTAAAGAG